CGTTGGCGACGATGTCTCATTCCAGAGAGACAGGATCTTCGGGCATTTTCCATGCTTGATCACTGCGTGTCCTCTCGCAGTCGACAATTGCTTTGTAGAATTAAGTGCGTTGACATACTACAAAGCCTATCGCGAAATCGTCTAGGTGACTGGCTTACATCACCAACTCAAAGAATAGTTAGCCTAAAAGCTTTGGCTACACTTCCTTGTTACTATCTGGACGATCCCACCATCGAGTGACCATACATAATGTGGTAACTCCTTTGGGAAGCAGTCCCGACGGATTGAAAAGTTCCTATCCTAGTTTGCCCTACCCCTTTAAACAACAACTACCGTTGAATATAAAAAGCCCACGCCTTCGAGGACTACCCGAAGTACTCCCATTCAATAAACTGCCGGCTCCTAAAAGTGTCACCATGTCCCGGTCCTGGTCTAGGACCTCATGAAAGGGGCAGATAAACTAGTACTAGCTAGTACTTCTTAAGAAGGACCGCTTTCTGGCTGAAACCAAAACATTATAATCATTGTAACTTTAGTTCATGCTTGTGTGTTTACTCAGAGACACATTGCTCAGGTGCGATGTTAGTTACAGTGGTTGCGTCTGGTGCCCATAGTGATTCTTAGGTTAACTTCTGAAGTCATCACAGACGAGTGTAGTCGCTCAACCTTTTTGGTATTGTTACTGACCACGATACCTGATGGGAGTTGTTAGTTCGATGGTGATTGGCCCATTTGTTTTTTTTCAAATTCAGGAACATATCCATGGGTTTGTTTTTAAATCGCGCAACGAAAGCGCTGTCGTCTGGCTATAAGTTCAGCTCCACTGGGCTAGGTCTGTCAGTGACCGTCTCATTACAGATCATTCAGGTCAGGGCGAGATGGCCCAAGTGGTAAGAGCGCGAATTCACTGACCGGAAGGTCCTGGCAGTATCCCAGCCCTCGTGCGACCTTCGGGTGGCATGGCAGCTAGGCGCCGAAAGGGAGTTACAGCTGAACAGGTCAGCCAGAAAGGGAGTTACTTATGCAGCCCACCCTGTTTCCCATTAAGTGATTTCAGGGCTTTCGAAAACGGTAAATCCCTGAAGGAAAATGTCTTCAGATCACATACAAACCATCCAGTCACCTTAGCCATTCCACGCCTTGCTTGCAGCTCGTCCTATTATGTCCATATTTCTGCCTATTTCATCCCCCACAGTCTGACTGACGAAACATCTCGCAAGAATTGGGAAGAATTCGGCAACCCGGATGGGCCTGGAGGTGAGTCCAACGGCGGTTTTATTTGGGATTCAGCATGTTTGCCACTAGACTAGCAGGTATGCATCTATACTACGTTTTGAACTCTCTTATGGAGTCGTTCGACCGTGGCTTATCTGAATGCGATTCACTAACTAGCATTACGGGCACGCAGTCATTTTAGTCACCTCTCTTACCGAATCGCACTTAACAGGTAAGTCGACGCGGAAGGCGACAGAATGCGTCACAAATCTCCAGATTTGTTGACATCTATCTTTTAAGTGCAAAAAACCTGCCTGTATGCATTCTTAGAGCATTCCAACGGTTTTTGTTCAGACGGTTGTTGCTCTTAGACTCTTTCGCAAATGCTTCTTTCCATGCTGTGCGAAAAGATCACTGGTCACGTGATCAACAACCAATAAGCGCACCTGAGCTACCAATATACTGACGCAGAACGTTTCATGCTACCATTCATGGTACTGTGAGAATCCTTTCCAAGTAAACCGCGGAATGTGCACGCCGGCTTGTAGTCGCCGTGATTCGACCGAAAATAGTGGTGAGGTTTATCTGTTAATCGTATAGACATGTCAGCTGAGGGACCGTTACTGTGAAGTCTGCACATGTGGCACTGATTAACAGTCCAAACATTCATTGTCTTCGGGCATGGGACCGATTCACACCACTAGACATCGACATTGTTGAATCTGTTATCATTTTAGTTTCCGTCTCAGAAAGTCTGTCATGAGGACTAGAGCTAGGTACCTGATGTATTCATTCTGCGACTTTATATGCACTTCATTGAAAACGACAGATCGTGCCTATTCAGCTTGCAAACGGTCGACCAGCTGTGAAAGTGTAAAGCAAACGGTTGTTTAGTTTGACAGCCACGAATCTCGTACGTGTGCACGACGGTTCGGCCCTCCCAGCGAAGTGCCGAGAACAAAAAAACCAATCGGGAACAATGTCACGTTAACGATAAAGAATTTATCAATAAATAGATCAGTAGCGTTGGCTGTGACATTGCATTCCCAGTGAATACCCACGACACAATAACCTCGCACACGGCATACACTAGTACGCTAAAGTCCCGGTGTTCTGTTTTTAATGTTTCGTGTCTGGGTGATACCTTTTCCAGTTATCTGCCACTCGGAACTTGCTTCAGCAAACAAGACGCTGCGAGGCAGTCGAGTGTCTAGCCTGCAAAGTGCGTGATTATGTCAGTGTAGTTGATGTAACCAAACCAAGTTGTCGAGTGGACGTTCGATTTGGTGCCGAAGTCCTGCGGTTTAGCGTGACTAATCCCATGTTTCAATAATACACATGCAATGCAGCGATCATCAAATGTAAACAGCCGTATGTCTGCCACACCCAGCGGCCAAGTCTCATATCTGTTGTCTATCCTTCACCTCACTGACATCATTTATAGTGATACGGTTGCAGCGAGGGAGGAATTTCTTACTCGAGTAACTTGTAAGTGCTTCGATGAAGCGAGCAATTTTATCCAGTTCCAAGGGAATCAGCCGTTCGGTGGAAATTATTGTGCTGTAATCTCCCTCCCGGAAGATAAGCTACGAGGAGCCCACAGCGAGCTTTGCTCGCCATATTTATCCAGGATTTCCTATCTCTGAAGAGGACATCGCCTCCACGGAGATACCCTAATTTTTTGCCAAATTGGTGCTCGGTCAGGGGTAGTCCTCTAGAAGGGATCCCATTTCACAATAGGGAAGCCAGAACGCTTCTTTCTGTGCAGTGAGCTGGGTATAACTGGCTTTTTTGGAAGTATTCTTCGCAATTAACCTCTGAGTAGGAAACCTATTGCCAAAACATATATGTTCCAGCTGTCGGAATCCTTGTTGCCATTGGAAGAAATACCGTGCTACGCATTGACCGACTGTTATCTGTTTCCCAGTCCATCACTTCGATGGAGGTGGACTGTCAGTCTATCACGAAGCTGTCTTTCATGGACAAGCAGTGTCAGGGGATCTGTGACCAGTAATACCCTTGTCTGTTACCGTGCTTTCCAGTACACAATTTCCTACTACGGTATGTTAGTTGTTTACCTTCGGTCGCCAGAATTACTATCGACTGTTTTGTTGTGCATCTTCCTATTTTTAGCTGCGCGATTCGGAATCGCGCTACCCAAGTGGATGATTGAAAAAGAAAACTTCTACTTGGTACGTTGTTATCGTTCCATGTTTTTGGCTCAAAAATACCCGGTCGTTATTTGTCAAAGCAACCGGAAAACGTAGGTTACGAGATGTCGGCATCTGTCACAATCGTAACATACTCAATATGTATAGACAACTGACGTGGTAACAAAAAGATAATCGATCTGTTGAATTGTGTGGGTTGGGTCCAGATCCAGAGCACTCGGTCAATGATAGTCGTGACTGTCTTCTGGGCAACATCGTTTCGCCGGAAGGTCGTAGTTTCGGGGTTCGATTGTTCAACAATGTGGTGGAAGTTTGAGGGCACTCAACAATTCGACTCGCGTCAGATTTTTTTGCAATCGACGACCTTTAATATGACCTGGGCGCCATTGGTGTATTGCCGTCAATGATGATACTGCGGAGCCCATAGTAGTTGGTTTATAGTATGTTCCGAGACCCTTTGGGAAAGGCGTCGATCACTTCTGCTAACATAGATATTACCGCGTTGTTGCTGAACTACGAGGGTAGTGATCTATGATACTCCGGGATTTAGTACAGAGCATTTGGACACCAAGTGCAGGTGAGCAGTTCCATTAGTGCGGATTAGGAATGGCTGATTTTTTCCTTATTCAAAATATAGTCGCTCGTAGATTGTGGGCACAATACAACCTCCTCAGTTGTGCTGATTTGATTGAGCGGCATATTCGGTTTGCAGCGTAGATCAGCGGAAAGTTCTGGGTAGTTGTTGGACTTCTTCGTTAACCCTTCTCCACTCGGAAGCTGATCTACGGTAAACATTCACGAGTGCAAGTTGTCTGTTGCAACAAGGTCGCGGAAGAATATCGATGAGTTGATCAAACAAACCAAACACCGTAGAATCGTTCAAACACTTTCACATGCACTCTACACATTAATAGTGCATTTTGGTGATAGACTTGTCCCAGACAATGGGCACTCTTCTGTACGCTTGACAGTATTTCAGGAGTCCATGATACCATTTTTTCAACTGGTTCTTCATTTGGACTGACGTATGGTTATGTATGATCCCTTATAAAGCGGCATTACGCATGATGGGACTGTTTTTAGTGACTGCACTCTTAGTCAACCATACACTCGAGTTTGTCTTGGCCTATTCCTGCGGACGAGCCAATCGACTTGATAGATAGAAATGTTTGCCTGGGCAGTTGCATACGTTCCAGTGGAGTGGTTGGCGATGAGATTACTTCTCGAATAGGGAAGACCTGGACAGCTTTTGCCAAACTCTGACACTTACAGCGCCCAAATGAGGTCAGTTTGTCTTTCAACAATAGAGCTTATAATGTGGCAGTGTGATCCATACTAGCTTACGGATCAGAGACGTGGCATCTACGCGTAGGGGACATACGGAAGATGTTAATTTGGTGTCCCCGGAGCATTGTTCGGGTCTGATAGGAGCAATGCTGCGGTACGCCAGGTACTTCAGGAAGAAAGAACTCTCCCGCGCCTCGTAGGTTACGCTTGTTGGAACATGTACTCCGCATGCCAGAGGACCGTTTGCCTCGCGGAGCTCTTTTCGCTCAGTCCTGCGCTGAGTGGAAGCAACCAAGCAGTGGACAGTGTATGATCTGGTAACGAAGTATGGAAATACCAACCAGTAAACTGAGTCGGGTCGACAGCTGCCGCCCTGCTGAATGGGGACCCCGGGACTCAACTCACACAGTCAGGAAGGGTGGTGTGCAGGAAGTGGACTCTGGCTCCACATAAAATTTTACATAGGGATTCAAATTATTATATTCTTAGAAGCAGTCAACCTTTTCATAATTCACTAACGTAGTCATCTTTAGCTCTGAAGAACCTTGTGTGTCAAAAACGAAGCGTTGTCTAGTAACTAATCTGCGGGTGTTTTTAAGTCGATATGTACTAGCGAAATGTATTCATTTGCATGTCAATTTGGTTTTGACGGGAGACTCACTTGGGATCCAACTGAATCTCGTTTACCGTGTTCTTAAGCAACTAATTATGCTGCACCAGGCCGCCTTGTCTTTCAGTTGATACGATCTTCGAGATATCGCGGTACACTGTATAGACATGATACTTTTAGCCACACCTCCAACGATCTAAACTGACAATTTCGTTTGGTTTCTGTCGTATAGTACATGTCCCATTCTCAGTAAACCAATAGAAGAACCTTAGACAGTGACAGATTTGCCCTTCTGAGGAAACATGCTTATGCCTGAAGTTGTGGTTAAAATGAAGCACGCTTTGATTGTCACGGTGTAGAATTGTATTTGACAAAGTATATGCTTCGTTGGTTACGTGGGCTACGTAGATACACACATAAGCTCCATATAAGTTGTCATGATGACTACCGCTATTTCCCATCCGGTCCGAGCTTCATCAGTGACCAGGTTTTTGAACCGCGATGAACCTCAATGCAGGGATGTTCCAAATCCCTTACCTCAAATTTTATTTACCAAAAGGGATAATAGAGTGGACCAGAAGAGAATGTTGTTCGGTCGGTGATCGAGTTGTTTGCTGAGCTTCTCGATTTAGTTGTAGCGTTTCACTGCTAATCGGTGCGTTGTTGCGTACCGAAGCGGTACAACACTGCTCGGCACACACTCACCAACACACTGCCACATTTCGGTCTCGTCAAACTTGAAAGCGTGTCTAAAATGACCCGTTACGCTAGTAACCCTGCGTTTTCCGAAAGGCGCATTGCATCGCGAAAATGACTGTCTCCTGATAATGGGGGTTTTTACTTTAGCTTATGGCCTGAGGCCATCCTCTCAGCAGGTTGAATAGAGTCGCTCAAGATTTTAAACTAGTTCCTATCACGTTAGTAAGACCGAAACCAGTTTTAGTAAGGTCGATATGGTTAAGGGGCATGTGGTACCACAGTTTGAGTCACATGAACTTAAAGGCACATACACCAACCGTTAGTGAACATAGATTCCGTCTGCAACATCGCCTTCCTTAATAGCTTGAATCGATTTTCTGATTCACTTTGTTTAGGTGGACATCACGTTTACCAAAATAATCACCCGTTGTCTGTGTCTGGTAGGTTAGTTAGACCACTTTCCTCTGTTCGTATAACGAAGAACGGCCGATTGCTCAAACCGATTTTCACAGCACTAATTTTTTCTAGCTCATATCGTCATCATCAGAGACAAGAACATCAATGCTGATATTTAATCTTCACTCATTTGCACTCACAGTTTGATCAGTTGTAGAATGCCGGGAACGATTGAGAAGTCATTGTTTTCGGAAAAGTTTGGAAAACAATTGTTGGATTTATTGCTGGGCCACGTTCATCTTTTGACACAAAAGCTTCGTCATACCAAGTGACCAGGTCACGAAGCTGGTCGGGATTTAAGGCAGAAGGAGAACCAATCAGCTGAGTGTCTCAAAAGTGGTGTTGAATGTCAGCTAAGGGATTTTGTTTCTAGGGTGATTCATCAACTGTTATGACCGATGAGGAACCTATATGGATTTGGGTCCACCTTAGGGTCTAGTTCTTCCGATTCGCTTCCCCTTGAACGTCTTTTACACGTTTTGTCCGTCTGTGTGGATGAGCCAGTACTACGATAGTTGTTCTGTGAACTTTGGTTGGTGTGCAGTTCCCTGGCTGTTTGATCTATGTGAATCTTAGTGCAATCGTCGCATTTAATTTTATACACATTCCCTAGTCCCTTCAAGCTGGAGGAGAACTTTCAATTGCACCAGAACTGGGCATAGCGTTTTTCCGTTTTGGAAAGTTACTCGAATGTTGGCTATGTTCGGCAGTCTTCGAGTAACCTCGGATGTTTCTGCTTTATGTGGAATGACTGTTGTTCCAGCCCATACCTTACTGGGTCTTGATCCCTAAGCGAATATCCTCCTTAATTGCCGCCCAATCTAGCTGACTGGGTATCCCATCTCTTGAAGTCTGTTAGACACAGGAAATAGAGTAGGTTTGGAGTATTTAGAAATCCTAAGACGGGGACTGTGATTCACACCAGAGTGACTGACAGCCAAGACGGTGGAAGTCACCAAGCATCACAGCATGAATATAACCGAGGGTGTGGAACAGGCGAGCGTATGGAGAGCTGTCTTTGACAAGGCGTTATGTTGTGGAGTTGTCAATAAACTTAGAATCATTGGCAAAATAGGTTTAGAAATCCCAACCTTACCCAATTTTTCCTAAAATGGTGCATCATAGTTTGTTCCAAAGGGCCAACTTAAATACCGAACAGTCGAATCCTGTCATCCTGATTATGGTCTTACCTATATAAAAAAATACTTCAGTTTAGTTAAACAGACCTCTGTTTTCATGAATGCATGCCTAATGCAAGTATTTTCGAGACTGGACCATTTCAATCTCTTCCTGAAAACTCTTGCCCGTGGATAGCAACACCGTGTGCTAATTTCAAATGTCGTTGATGATGATGATGATGATGTGGTCAACACAAAACCAGTTCGTGCTCCTTGTCGTTACTGTGTTAGATTCGTAGATATAATCAGTCCTAAATCAAAATTCCTCTCGTCTAGTCCTTTAGCTTGCAATTTTGTTTTGTTTCCACTGTTATTTTTCAGACAGTGACTGGTGTTGTTGCATGGATTTATTGATCGATCGTCATCTAATTGGTATGTCGTCAGTTGACGTGGTCCGTTAGGGTGCACTTCCGATCAGGTTGTTCACAAACACAATTAGCTTCAGGGCGACCAATTTAGTGAACTGACTAGGACACTAAGGTGCGCTGGTGGAAATAACCTTTCGGAAGACCTGAATCGACTGTTTACGTGCATGGGTTATCGGTTAATCAGAACCCAGCACATGAGCTAAGCAAAAAGAAATGCTCAAGTCGATCAGGACGTCTTCGGGGACCAGTGATGTAACACTACTGTGGAGGACCGTCAATCAATGGAGTTGGGAGTTCCGGTTTTGATACCAGATTCGGAAGCGGCTAGCTCAAACAACGGCTTCAGACAGAGAATGAAGTGAATATGCAGCATGTTCTTACAATTGTCGCTTGACCACGAATTCTTCCGCTGACCGGTTCGCGCAGTCGTGCAATTGGCACTAGGTGTAATTCTGAACCGTACGGTAAGCAGTTCTGCGACGAACTAAATGGTTAGCGTAGCTGACCTCCCCGGAGCCTGAGAGTGTCTCTTATTTGCACGTTAACCGCCTTAACATCTGAACTGGGGTCGTCGGGCCAGGTACAGTTTCTTTGTCAGTGGACCATTATCATCACCATCGACAGCATGCCATCAGTGTTCAACAGAGATGCTTCGCTGGCGTACAACACTGAACGCATGTATCATGGTTGTACGTGGGCTGGGATACTGTCAGGGCGCCTACACGTAGACAGGAGGACGATTAGGGCACTCAACCAAAGCCTTTGACTTAAAAGCTTAACCGCAAGACAGCGGTATTTGGCGGGAAATGCAAGTGCATTGCCATTTAGACGGAACAAGTCGCTACATGTTCCAACTCCCAACATGAAGGACCAGGTACGTCCAGGACCTGTTCGTCGGACCTGGTATGAGAGACTGTGAACGTCGTGGGGATACCCCCAGTATAGCTCAGTGGGTCGCTGAGGTGCGCAAACCGTCACACCACGGTAAGGTCCAGTCTCTTCGTGACGGTATAGGACAGATGGCGAACAGGTCACCAGTAGGGTAGTGATGTACAAACCCAGTGATGTGAGAACTCGCAGGTTGCTGTGATCTGGTTATCAGATGGGTTTAGGACGATTTCAAAACCTTGGGATAAATGGGGTGAGGGAAGAGAGCTGCGCATAGTAAGGTACCGGAATGTAAGCATAGAGGCAAGAATATACTTGGACGGAATCAATTTCCAAACGCAATTCAACATCCCAGTTTAGCTAGTCCTTCCACAGCCAATTTCCTGCGGAAATGTGCTCTCACCCCCTCACACCATCATCATCATCATCGAGAGCATGACATCAGTGTTCAACACCGATGCTTCACTGCCGTACCGATGTGGCATGAGTTTATTTGTGTATGTGCAATTCATGGTTGTACGTGCGCTGGGATACTGCCAGGGCGCCCACACCTAGACAGGAGGACGATTAGGGTCCTCAACCAAAGCCTTTGGCTCAAAAGCCTAACCGCAAGGCAGCGGTGTTTGGCGGGAAATGCAAGTGCATTGCCATTTCTACGGAACAAGTCGCCACATGTTCCAACCCCCAACCTGGAGGGCCAGGAGACTGTGTTCGTCAGACCTC